CAGAATCGCATGACGTGTCCGGCCCACCTTATCTTCGATTCCTTGGCGAAAACGGCAGCGTCCCTGATCTTCGATCGTTGGCGTAGTTCCAAACTCCGGATTCCCCTCTGCACTTGCGTGTATAGGATTACTCCTAGCATCGTCCTCCAAGCATTTCATAGGGATGGAGGGCAGAAACTCGAGAAGGTCATAGGTAGAATCAGGAAGTACTGATACAATCCAAACCCCAGATCTCAGCGAAAAGCGAAATCCATCAGGTTTAGTATCATATTGCTTTACTTAGTGGCTCTCGAGTCAGTTCAGTCTGGTTTCAGCCATCACACATCGGAAGTGCTTAAGCCTTCCTATCTACCTCTCCCTTTCCCTATATATTCACCAAAGCAACACAGATGCGCTCTTGAGGGACCTATTTCGGCGGAATAAACTCGTTCTAACGAGCACTCGTAGTCCTAGGTATTATAGCTTGTTATCTCGCGAGCTCGAGATTTCGTGAGACTGAAGTGGTCCTGCTACACTATGATGGAGAGCGCCCTAGATAGCTCGATAGCTTTCTTGGCAGCGTGAAATCAAGTACCCTTTCAAGACCAGTTGTAACTAGGAGGCTTCCACGGCGGAACTTTGTGACGTCCAACCATGTTCGGACGGCAATGGAAGATGACTTGATAGCTCACGAGCTCGAGATTTTCTGGATTGAAGTGGTCATGATCTACTCCTCCGCTTACCAGCAATATTTTGAGATGGTAATTATACTATAGTGTAACTTATAATTCCAAGTATGTCTGTGCGTGCGTGGTATGTGTATGTGTCACGAAATTCATAGCGCGCTTCGCTGCAATAGTTTAGCACTGTATTTTGAGTATGTTGTAGGGGGTGGGACTGGAACATATTCTGATGGGGGTCAGAAAGTGATATCGGCTGATAAGATCCGATAAGAGGCGCCAGAACGCTAATTTCACGATATCTGATAAGCGCGACGTCCCAGCAATCAGTAGGCACTGAGTACAAAGAAGTGTTGTAGGACGGAAACAATTGATGGAGGTCAGATGTAAAGGGGTGAACGATGTGCGTAAGGACCATATAATTGATCCACTGTCAAACCATTCAAGATAAGCATTTCATTTCAATATCATTTCACTTCGTTGTCACCCTTCGACCAAGACTTGTACTATTCGACCGCTACACTCTCCAAAATTCCTAAGAATGCATGGTGAATGTTCGAAGAAATACGGTAACGACTACTAAGTGTTTCTTTATAACATCAAACACAATCCGGCCGTCAAATTACACGGACATTCGGCGCATGGTGTTTTACAGACACCACTTCAGCTCTGCTCTCCACTGCGCGTACCAAGCGAGCTTCTGCAAAGATGGGCAGCCTGTGAAATTGTCAGCTAACGCATTTTACAAAGCAGCTCATATTAGCAGTGAATCTATACTTTATCGGTTGTGGCCTTCTGTTCCATGCGCGCGGTAGCGTGCGGCGCTTAATTGGTTCCTGCAGATTCTCACTCAGCAACTGCGAAAACACGAAATGATCGACCTAATTAAGAAGTAATCGCGAGTGTGCCTTAACTTTGGAAATGTGGAGTGTAGTGAGCGAAGAGTAGCTCTGTGAGCTAGTGAAATGCAGCTAACGTTCCCAACTGCTGTTTCACTAACTAGCTTATTTTAGGGGTTTTCCCTTATGATTGCACCATACACACAAGCACAGATTCTGCAAAGATTGAATGTGCACTTTGTTATCCTTCGGTCAAATTCAATAGACGTCTACAATCGTTCACGTGAGCATATTGATCTCAATGATTTCTCTAAAGCAGAGGTTCTAATTAGAAGTAATTCTATGTGTTCAGCTTGGTACAATTGAACAGAAAGAGAAAGCGCAGGACTAAGGTAAGTGTGGTTTTGATACTTCTTATAAGGAATTTAGGCCCGTTGGCTCCTCTTTTTTGATTTTTTGCCAGTATTGAATACCATTCCCATCAACTTCAAGAATAAACTTCAAGATATAACCAGGTATTTAATAATCAAGTTCATTTTGCTTTGACTGTCTGTGCCATAAATAACTCATGACCAGACGGAGCATAAAGCGAAATAAAAAGCGATAAATATTTAAATGACTATGAATGGCTGGTGTAGGTAGGGCAAAAAATGATGAGATGCATAGGAAAATAATGGTAGTTGGATATTCAGGGGTGGCCAAAAAAAGACACTTCACCCCACATTCAGGCAGCATTACTCGCACTTTGCTAAACTCAAACCCACTGCTCCCTTAAAGGCCGAACCACGGGATTAGCCCGACTAGTAGGAAGGATACCGCGTGGGAACTTGTAGGATCCGTACCTACCTAGATCACTTCAACTTGGTCGCGCGGTTAGGGCGCTAATCCTTACGGGCCTCCAACCATCGAACGCTTCCCACCCACCGCGAGATGTGGTGAGATCAGCGTGCATTGATGTAGAGATCAGCGTGCTCTCTCAAACGACGTTCTCTCTCGCGTGTTTTGACCTCTCTGATCGCCCTGTCTTGCCATCGTACCACATCCGACCTTTGAAGGTTAAGGCCTTAAGTTCAGCGTTCCCAAAGAGTGGGAAGTTGCTCTCGCTCCTCCCTTCTCCACTTTCGGGTCGCTCCGCAGCTAGCTATCACTGCCGAAAGCCGCTCTTAGCACAGTTTATTCCGCGAGTTTGCCTATTAAGTGCATTCCTTTAAGTGACATCCTACTCTTTAAGGAACGCTTCCAATAGCTTTCTGCACCAACACATCACAAGGATTTCCCTTGGGACCCTTGCGCACGGTTCGAGCTCAACTGATCCTCGACGGATCATGGACCTCTACGACTTTGTTTCCATCGCTGGTCGTAAGGACTCATGCATATTTGGAGCTACTGTCCCTAGGAGGTAACCCGTCAATTAAATGATCAAAGAGTTTCCTTGGAGCTTCTTGCTTCGGGCCTCCTTGAAGATGACGTCATATTTTGAGGACGGTGAGGGGAGATGAAGAGGGCATGCTTTTCACTTATGGGAGAACCTAACTTCCATCAACATAGGTACCCTGTGCGATTAAAAATTTGGTGATGTGCGCCATTCCGACAGTGTCTCTTTTATTTGGCCACCTTTGAAGTTATAGCAACTGCTCTATTCTCTCACCATTCTGGTGCCTTTTATTAAATAGCGAATAAAACCTTATGGTTAGTAGACCTGGGCGAGAACCGATCCAGATCCCTCGAAATAAAGTAGTAGTATAGAAATAGTGGTTTTTTGAAGTTTTTGACTGTGAGAACAAACTATGTGAAATTTTGGCTGTCATTGTCCATCAAAAGGGTTGTGTTTTCAGGTTCCTCCTCTCACAGACTGGAGGAAATTAATTATTGAAAAACGTAGACTTAAAGCCGGCTCCTGGTATAATTTGTACTTCTCTTTCCGAGGCACGAACAACACCTTCATAGATTCTGATTACTACCCTTTCAAAACGGCTGCTTCATGTAAGTTTGAAATCTTTGTCTGTGTGAACCATTACCTGGTCTTTAATGCTGCATCATTTTCAACTCCCAGTTCCTCGAAAACCCAGGCGATTACTATAGCATTGTTACTCAAGAGTCGTTATCCGCGAACCTACTCACTGGAAAAAACATTTCAGTAAATTTTGGAAATTAGGGAATAGTCAATGAAGTCGACCTCGCTTTTTATCGCGTGTATGGGTGGCTACACAATGATTTATTCACTGACATACAGTGGCAAACCGATTTGGTTCCGTCATATTCTCTCCTTATTGATAGGGCGGAAGTGGTGTAGTGACAAGTGGCGCGCTCACCACGCGAGCGGTCCGGGGATCAAATCCTGGGTCGTGAGTCGCCCGGGCCAACCAAGCCTTCCATCCCTCCGGGGTCGGTTAATTGGTACCAGACTTGTCTGGGAGGATAAAAACACTGACTTGTACATCGGCTGGCCCCCGCAAGTCATTGTATAGGCCACATCGCATTCAAACGCCACTACGAATGTACAAATGGAAGTAGAATGCGTGCCGCATCCCAAAAGGGATTGATCAACGGCAAATGCTTTATCCTTTTATCCTTTTATCTTATATGGTAAAAATCTCGTATGAGAATAATTTGCTTCTCCAGTCTAAACGTGGTTCGATTCAGGGTGCGATGTTGTGCAGCCACGTGTAGCAGCATCGCACTCCTCCCTCCCTGTGCCCTTCAGCAGTAGATTGTGAGTAATCTCACCAGTAACGATGGCCATTTGAAATATGATGCATATCACTCATCCTCGAACTCTGACCACAAAACTGTACTCCATATCTGCTGATCAATTCTCAGAGCAAAGTGACGGAACTGGTTGTGATACGGAGCAGATCCAATTTCAGCAGGAATACGGTACGCATGCATAGCTACGGATATGGAAGGGTGGCATAGTGGCTATCATGCCAGTCTCGTAAATGCAAGGGCAAGGGTTCGGGTCCGCGAAATGGTGGTTCATTTGCACCTTTTTGAAACTATGCTCAATGCGTTTGCAAACATGCTGAGAAAAGGTCCTCATAAACATTGCGCATAAGCAATCCAGTATCCCCCTCTAGTGCAACCTAGGGGTACTGAGGTTTTTATCCTTACTTCGAAGTAGTGCTGTGGCGCGATAGTTTTGGGCAGCGGTCAATGTCAGGAACAGGTCGTGGCAACGCGGCGCCTAAAATGATGGTTATTTTTATGTGGCCTTCTTCTGTGATTTGTGATTTGTGGTCATTTATGAAGTTTCAGACTATAAAAATTTTCTTGCACAGAGGTTGTGCTCGTGGATGCTTAGGAGCTGGAAGGCACCCAGCTACTAGGCTTTCCATGTTACCCATAGAACCCCACTTTTTTGATTTAGGTTGATTTAGGAGTTAAATTTCGATTTGGCTACAAATTTGTGTTAAGGGGTAGTTTGACTCCTTGAAAGCGATGGTCGCTGCCCCGGCGTGAAAACGCCTTTTCGTGCGTTGCGCACGCTAGAATGCCGCAATGCCAAAGTCAGAATATTCAAAAGAAAACTTATCGAAAGACAATAATTTAACTTCTGTTGACGAGATATAAAAAGAAGCAAAGACTGGAGCGAACGGACCCGATCCTAGCGTCGAACCTGCAGATCAGTCTCTTCAATCTGTTAGACCATCACACCATTTGCGGGGAAAAAAACCTTCGTACTTTTGTTCACAGCATCGTACAACAGATTTGGAAATACAGTGCTCAAAATTGAGGACCGCGTGCGCGCAGTTCATATCCACTTTTTTCCGTATCGCTCCATTTTCATCTCGTTTTCTGTGCACTATGTGAAAGGGTACAATGTCTTCTTCCTAATGAAACCAAATTTCATGAAGTTCTCAAAACTAGTGAAATAACTACTTCACTTTGAGTCAGTCCTCAAATTGAACTCACTAGGGGCTCTGGCACGTTACATCTAGCAGCAGTCTAACCTATCAGAGAAGCCCTTATGAGCAACAGTTCAACTTCAATAAGTTTGGAATCACCACAGATGGAAAATTCGGGGACTCGAAAGTTACAGTTACCACCAGGATAATTATCAGATGCAGAAACTAGGTCTCCCCTTGTCGACTTTCGTACACCAAAATGAAAAAATGATGTGAAAACCCAGCCAGACACTCTAAAGACTCCACATCTGTAGTGGATAGAAAGCCACAGTAGTCTACTTAGAACTTCTTACAGGACCGAGCACCCAAGAATAAAGCAAAAATCCTCCAAAAAGCGATTTTTCGAGTTCGTTGCTTTCGAAGAATTGTTACAATGGAACCATCCACCTAATAGCTCTAGATTTCTGTATTTCACACCCTGGATGCAAGCGCAAATAAATGCAACACAAAAGTTTGATTCCCTGAAGAAGGCAGAGCAGAAGGCCTGGAAACATTTGGACACGCCTTAGTTGCGTGCCACCGCACGCGCCATCCCCCTCATCCGAAGGCTCGTGTTAACGGAGTTGACGACATCGCGGCGTTACGGCATTTTGGCGCGTGGGACAAGGCAGGGGCTTTTTCTTTTGCGGGGGAAGCGCCGCCGCCTCACAACAAATCTGTGGATTTTGAGCTTTAAATACGCAATACTTCGATGCGACAAAATGTTTTCACTGATATTCGGTGTGTCAAACTTATTGGAAGGTACACATGTGAAAGTGCGGTCGAATGATGTGTTACAGCATTGAAAAGGCAAGTTTCACTTACTTTTGCTTTAGTGATTTCAAAATTATTTTGGACGTGGTTGTTTCGGTAAAAACACATATCTTGCCACACGAGTAGCTTTGTACTCACTTCTAATATTCTTTTTTATCTACATGTTCGTGTTAATGAAGAGAAAATGAGGAATGAACTGAACGGATATTTTCGTCCGGTCCGAAAAACCTCTGCCAAACTAAAGAATATTTGGTCATTCTATAAGCCGCGTGGTTCTTGGTTATGTTGTGGTATGGCCTAAAAAATGAACACAAAAAACCTGGGAAGAAATGGCGCGTTCAAGAAAAAACTGAATGTAAAGGGTGTGGCAACTATAGTTGCCACAATGTCCATTGCGGCGTGCAAAACGCGGCAAACCTAGTTGCCGCGCTGTCGTCAAGGTGTTAAGGGAGAATAGGAAGACTCAATTCTCTCCTGGGGGGGGGGGGGAATTACTTGCAGGTAAGGGTTACAAATACTTCCGCGCAGATAGATAGAGGTAAAAGTTCAAGAAATCTTAGCGCTTTGGACACAATTGAAGTAGTATGATTGATGGAACGCAGTTCAAATCCCGTTTAGCTGACAGAGTGGCGGATGCAGTTGGGCGTTGTTAGAGGCAAGGCCACTCTTCATGATTCCCCTTCACTTCTCTCGAAAGAAAATCGCGAACACATCACTAGCCGTGCGTAGGCGTTGGCTTGTGAGACTGCCCTTCAGGAGTGCACTGTGAAGAATTTTTTGTGAATCTCATCACAGCGAAAAAAGTTATGCAATGCCTGAGTGCAGGACTGCTCTTCTTCGCCGCTGGATCTGAAAGGTGACCTGCCTGCTTAGGCCTGGGAAGATGCGCTTCGGTCTACTGAGCAAATGAGCAAGAAACTCCTTCTTTTCTAAGCGAATGAGAAGAGACTAACAATGCGAAACAGGATCCTGTCTCAGAGATGGAGGCACCTTGACGACAAATCGTCCTACTATCCCGCGCAAGCAGATCAAGCGATCGATCGCGCGCGAAATGGCCATATATAAGCGAAGAGCGGGAACGCGAAGATATCGTTTTCATTTTGCTCCAAGTACTGACCTTTATTCTTACTAACGCTGTTATTTTGGATAAAATTTCCTAATAATAGTGTCCATTTGAGGATAGTTCGCGTATTGATCGCGTAAGAAAACTATTCGCGTGGCAGGCATCTCACATTTCGCGTATACACGAACCTCATCCTCAATTGGTGCATCGGCATCGACTTATTTGGAATCTACCGGACCAAAGTGAAAGGTGAGTTTTCAATAATTCATATTTAAGAAAACTCACTGCAAGGTTTTGTCAGCTCATTGGTGATAGTGAATTTCAAAGCTGTCAATAACGTTAGGTTCGCGTGATTATTGGTTGGGACGTTCAAGTGGATACTTCGCGTAATCGATTTGAACCCATCAAGGGAATCTATTGATCTGGTGATTAGATTCAATTCACTCAAGTGGGACTTTCGCACGTGTCAACAATTTGAACTCTCTTAGGTGAGACTTTCGCACGCGTCAACCATTTGAACTCTCTTAAGTGAATTTATTGACCGAGTTAATAAATTCAAATTGTTGAAGTGAGTTTCAAACGCGTACTCGATTTATACCCACAAAGTAAAGCTAGTGGTTGAGTCATCGAACTGAATTCACTAAGTTATTTTTAGAACGCGTACTCAATCCAATTTGAACCCACTGTGAGTTTATAAATCGGGTCATAAAATTCAAGTCATTGAAGTTAAGTTTCGATCGCGTATTCAATTCGAACCCAATAAGGTGAAGTTATTGCGCGTCATAACTTGAGTTTCTAAAAAGGTTATTGTTCGCGTTCAACTGAACCTACTTGGAGGAATTTTGATTGAATCACCAAATTCAATTCACCAAAGTCGAGCCATCAAACGCGTAATCAATTAATTTCTACTAGAGTGAGGTGAATTTACTGAAGTAGAAAGATTGATTTGAGCGCGTCGAACCGCATAGGATACAATTATTGACTCAGGGTTTGAGTCGGATTAGCTTAGGTGGAGCGTTGAAGTCAGCATCCACTGGGTGGAGCTATTGAACAATTCCACTTTATTCTGTCCTAATAAAATACTGATCGCGTGAACAACTCTTGTCCTAAACTTGACTTTTCATCGCGTTGAAAGAAATAACAGCTCAAAATCAGCGCAATGATGACTACACAACTTTCTTCTTATAAACGCAGAATAACCGGGCTTTGCAATAAGCTAGATACGGTACTCTCGCGTTTCAAAGAGGAGAAATTAGAGACCCTGAAGGTTTCGGATAGTGACCGCACTCCAGGGTATGAAAGGGAATGCCAGAAAAAACTCCATGAAGGACTTGGAGCAATTGAGGCATGCACTTCAAAGATCGAACAAACTTGGCAAGAGTATGGAAACGCGTTAAGTCAATTGAATAGTCCGCCCAAATCGGAATCCGACGACTACGAGACGTATTCCAATCGAGCCGACGGAGTCCTCAGTGCAGCACTCGACTATACAGTCATATTGGAAGCGAGGTTGCGCGCGTTCAAGGCAAATATAGGAGCCATTCAAGAGGTACAACGATCGAGTGTTGAAGATAGGACTTCGCAGGACTACTCGCTGGGAACTAAACGAATCGACTTACCCACGTTACCCGTCCCAATATTCGCCGGAAATATATGGGATTGGGACAATTTTTGGACTCTGTTCTCCGCCAATGTTCACTTTCAACCGATACCAGCGCTCTTCAAGTTCAATTACCTTCTCAACGCGTTGAGAGGGGAGGCACTTGCTGCGGTTAAGAAGTTTCAAATAAATGAGGAGAACTACAACAAAGCGGTAGAGTTCCTGAAAGAGAAATATGGGAACTCAGAGGAGCTCGTCAGTCGCTTAATTGACCGCTTGGAAAAAATCACGTCGCGTTCATCTTCTATCAAGGATCAACGCGTACTTCTGGAGCAAGTCCAAGTCATAGTATCGCAGCTTCAGAACAAAGGGGAACAAGTAGATAGTCACTGGCTTTTGAAGCAAGTTTTGTCAAAATTTTCAGTTAGTCTGCAAAGAAGAGTCTTGGAAAGGAAGTATTCCATGGAGGGATCCTTTCACATGCACACTCTTCTCAAAAATTTGGAGGATATCATCAACAGCGAAGAACAGATTGAGCTGTATACCTCCAAAAACCTCACGCCTCCTCTAGTAGAACCTAAGAAGGAGAGAAACCACAAAGGACAGTTTCAACGCGTGGGTAACACTCCGAGTTACTTGTGCATGTACTGTGGAGCTGACCACAAATCAAGAGCATGCACTAAGTACGACACTCCTCAGGACAGAGCGAAATACCTGAGAGAACACAAACTGTGCTTCATTTGCGCGTCCCCACAACACCTCACCTCTGAGTGCAAAGGGCGAGTGTGTTTCAATTGCCAAGGGAAACATCATACCTCTTGCTGTTTCAAAGCGGCGTCTCCAAACGAAGACGAGTACAACGCTGCCAATAAAGCCCATCAACGGCCCCCACACCCTCACCGAAGAATAAAGGGAGACCGGGGCAGAACTCACAGCCTGCATCAGTGACTAACAATGTAATTAGTCATGATCAAGGAGCTACAGTGCTTCACAACAAAGAAATAGAGAAACCAATCTCAGGGCTACAACCGCGTAACGGAAACCCTGAAACCTTCTTACCAACTGGAGAACTTACAGCGATGGACCCCGCAACAAGAAAATTAAAGAAGATCGCGGTTCTTCTAGACTCTGGAGCGGAATTTTCGTTCATCGACAGTGGACTGGCAGAGGAGCTACACTTACCCACATTAGGGACGACCAAGTTACGTCTGCGGACATTCGGGTCGGACCGTGTACAAGAATGTATAAGTCGTAAAGTACCTTTGGAAATATGGGATAGCAACGGAAAACCACATTCTCTAGAGCTGCTCACACACGAGTTTTTGACAACTACATTGAAAACTCCTCCAATACTGGAAGAAGACCTCGCGTTTCTGAAATTATTGGAGCATCCGATAAAGTTGGATCGGGAGCAAACAACAACAAAACCATTGATACTAGTGGGTTGCGACCAACTATGGCAACTCCTTCGCGAAGATCAAACACATATCCGCCTTCCTTCAGGACTGCATTTACTACCAACTCATCTGGGACATCTCCTAACAGGGCAAATACAAGAAACTCGTCAAATTACTCAGGTAGTGGAAGACACCGAGAGTCAAGAGGACGAACTCGACCAAAAGTGGGAACAACTTTGGTCACTAGAAACTCGAGTAAACGCGTTCTCAATGGAAAAATCTCAAGAGGAAATGGACGAAAAGACCTCGTGGGAAAAGTATTGGTCCTTGGAGCAAGACGGTATAGAAGAATTTGCTAAGGCGGAAACTGAAGTACAGTCAGTAGAAGACAAAAAGGTGTTGGAAAATTTCGTCAAGACCATCGAGAAGAAGGACGATGGTTACTACGTACGCTTACCTTGGAGGGAAATCCCAATGAAATTGCCCGACAACAGAGCTATCGCGTTAAGAAGGCTAATGAGTGTATGGAATTCCCTTCAAAAAGATAAGGACCTACTGGAAAAATACAACGACATCTTCCAGGAACAACTGCGCTTGAATATTATAGAGGAAGTAACAGATGAGCAACAGCCAGTCGAGGGTATAGTTCATTACCTTCCTCACCAGGCGGTGTTGACACCGCAAAAGAATACGACGAAAATACGGATAGTGTTCGACGCATCAGCGCACTATAGAAATTCTCCCTCGTTGAATGATGCACTACATCGGGGACCAGTAATTCTGCCCAAACTCTATGGAATTATTCTCCGATTCCGGATAGGGCAAGTCGCGTTGATCTCAGATGTGGAGAAGGCCTTCTTGCAAGTTCGTCTCCACCAAGTGGACAGAGATGCAACACGATGCCTATGGTTACAAGATCATAAAACTCCTCCTACAGCACAAAATCTGCGAGTTTTCAGATTCACACGCGTAACCTTTGGCTTACTTCCCTCTCCATTTTTACTCGCAGCAACGACTCACTACCATCTTGATCAATACACCAAATGATAAGGAACTTGTCAAGGAGATTAAGGAAAACCTGTATGTGGATAATCTTCTCCTTACTACAGACTCAGTCAAGGAGGCAGTCCGCGTGTATTCCAGGACAAAGACCATGTTTAGTGAGCTAAAAATGAATCTGCGGGAATTTGTTTCGAACGACGATCAAGTTATGGAGACAATCTCAAAAGAAGATAGATCTATCGAAACAGAACCCAAGGTTCTAGGTATCAAATGGAATACAATCGAAGATGTGATACAAGTGACGTGCAAAATGATGGAACAAAATGAGGTAACCAAGCGCACGGTCGCAAGTTCCATCGCGTCGATTTACGATCCCATGGGATGGATGCTGCCGTTAGTACACAAGGCAAAAGTCTTTCTACAATCGCTGTGGAAAGACGAGTTTGAGTGGGACACGCCACTGCCAAAAGATCGCAAGACAGCGTGGGAAGAGCTCATGAGGAATATACAAGGATTTCAAAAGGAACTACCGCGTTGCTTAAGTTCCAAGTACTCGGACGTTCATTTGATCACATTTGCAGATGCTAGTGTGGAAGCAATGGCCGCATGCATCTACTTGCGTACGGAACAAGGTGCTGATTTACTGATGGCTAAAGGGAAACTCCCTGCTCTGAAAGCCAAAATGACCATACCTAAAATGGAACTAAGCGCTTTGACATTAGCAATACGGCTCACAAACTCGGTAGTACTCCAACTCGCGTCCGTAGTATCTATCAAAGACATACTCATTCTGACAGACTCAGAAATCGTCTTAAATTGGATTAGAGCCAAACGACGGTCAGATACGGGTCCTTTTATTAGAAATCGCGTTTTTGAGATCCAGAACATCGTGGCTCATCTGGGAGAAAGTGGCTACCACATTCAGTTTGGACATATCCCATCACAGCTCAACCCAGCAGACTGTGCCACGAGAGGATTGGACAAAACGCTTCTAAAGGATCATTTCTGGTGGAAAGGCCCAAGTTTTCTTTCTCTTCAGGTGGAAACCTGGAAAGACACATATACGCCGATCGCGTTATATGATCCCCATGATGGAGAAGAGCATTCGGAAGAAGCTGCAGTAACAGTGACTGACAAATGCGTGTTCACTAATACAAAGGAAAATCTTGTGGATCTCTTCCAGAACATTCGCTTCTCGAGTTTTTCTTCCGTTAAACGCGTAGTAGCTTATGTTCTGCGATTCATCAAAGAAGCGCTCAATCGCGTGAACAAGAAGCGAACATCGCCAATCGCCCTCTCATTGATCTTCAGAAAGGCCACCATCGTGGAATCCATAACACTCAGTGGAGGAGAGATCAATATGGCCAGCAAGATGTTAGTCAAACAACATCAACTATCTCATGTGAATCAGATGATTCAAAAATCGCTGTATCACCTAAATCTGTATGAAGACAAGTACGGTATCCTAAGATGCCGTGGACGACTGGGAAAGAGCGAATTAGAGGATTCGGCCAAGTTTCCTATGCTAATTCTCCAGAAGTCATGGCTATCACAGAAGATCATCGAAGAATGCCACAGTCATCTTCATCTGAGTACTAGTCACACTATGTGTCAAGTACGCGAGAACTACTGGATTCCGCAACTTCGAGCGGAAGTAACAAAGTTTATACGACGTTGCGCAAAATGCCAACGCCTTAAACAACTTACCCTTCAAATACCCCGAACAAAGTCATTTACCGTCACGCAGGGTAAATAGATCCCGTCCTTTCGAACACGTAGGACTGGATTACTTTGGACCCCTCTCAGTGAAAAATGAAGAACGGATTGACAAATGTTACGGATGTATCATCACATGCCTCGTCACCAGGTTGATACATCTGGACATTGTCGAAGACGCGTCTACACTCGCGTTTCTCCAGATGTTAAGACGCTTCTTCTCAAGAAGAGGAGTTCCAGCTTCTATAACGAGCGATAATTCTCCTACATTTGCATTAGGAGAAGTCATCCTTTCCGAGTGTTATCAGCGGATAAAAAATGATGTCATGATTGCTAAAGAAGTAAGCAATCGACAAATAGAATGGATTTACATAACACCTTACGCACCGTGGCAAGGAGGGGTATACGAACGACTAATCCAGTCGGTAAAGTTGGCACTTCATAAATCCCTAGGAAAAACTATACCGACACGTGGAGAACTGAATACCCTCATTAATAGAAATTGAAGGGAATATTGAACACTCGACCACTTCTGTACGTTGAATCGGAATTCCGATACAGATAAAGTCCTAAGACCTATCGATTTCTTACAAAACGAGTTCGAAGTACCAGCTGTACTGGAAACGGAAAAAGAACATATTGACGACCCCACATACGTCAATCCAGCTGATCGCGTAATCCTCCAAACAAAGAATCAGACGCTTGAAACACTAAAAAGTTCATGCCAACTAACGGAAAGATTTTGGCAGATTTGGCAGTCTCAGTACATCACGTCGTTGCGAGAAAAACACAAGCGAGATGTAGGGAAAAAACGGGGCTCACGTTTGGCACCTAATATAGGAAAAATTGTGCTAATCTGTGAGGCTCTTCAGCCGCGTTACCAATGGAAAATGGGACGCATTCTGGAACTAGTCAAAAATAAAGAAGGCATAGTCAGAGAAGCGGTGGTACTACTCCCTAATCGCCGGAAGATTAGGAGACCTGTGAACCTGCTAACTCCGCTCGAATTGGACGACGACAGTACGGAGATTCCTGCAGAAAATACAGAATTAGAAATCGAATCCGAACAAAAATCAACCTCGCGTTATAACCTTCGCCGGCAGAACAAAGTCG